CTCCAGATGAGAACTTGACCGGGCTAGCTCCTTAACATCAGTCTTCTGAGAGAGCGTGGCCACAGCAAGTTGGGCTTCTGACCTCCAAACCCGGGAGCCACGGGATGCTAAAGGAATGTTGTTTTCAGCTATTAGGATTGTGGTAATTTGTCACAGTAGAATGTGAATACGGAGGAAATAGGATGAGAAGGTTTACAACCTGCCCAGAGTCGGGCAGCTAGCATACCAATACCACAGGCAGGCTTTGTCCCAGAGGGTCAGCTCCACAACCCATGTTCTCATACACCAACTCTGCCACCCTGTGTCCCTCTGTGTCCTTTCCTCTTTGGGAAAGTCTTTCCTGACAACCCTCACCCACTCGGATCCCTCTTGAGCTCTATACATCCTTTCCACATAGACCATACTTTTTAATGCCTATATCCAGCTGTAACTTCATGGAGCTTTGAAAGAGAATAAACAGCCACTTGCTCTTGGCATGAAAGGCCCCAAACTTGCACATGGTCGCCATGATACATCTGTTTCATGGTTTGCCACAGGGTAGAGCCAGAATAAATATCTCAGGAATGCCAAATTGGTAACAGATGACACCAGGGTTTAGGAGCTTTGGGTGAATGGCCTGTTATCTCCCATGAAAAAGGCCTGGAACAAAAGCCATTCCAATGTAACCCTCCCCCTAGAACTTGTCTGCCCCTCCCTGTAAACGTCTAGAGCAAAACCACTCCGCGGAGACCCTACGAAATGTGTATCTGGGGTGCCCTTCCTCTTGCTGAGTAAACTCCATTTCAGAAGTGGGCAGGGGGAGTACCAAGGAAAGTTGGGAACGTGTCGTTGCCAAGATGAGGGAATTTCTTCGGCTTCCTGTGCTTTCGGAGGAAGAGCAGCTAAGAAGTCTTGCACCAAAGAAAAAATGGGAAACACAAAGAACTTGACTTAGCCAAAGCAATCCCTGCCCTGCCCACTGGCAGGTGCTGACCTGTATTTTTCTCGTGATTATTCATTAAGCCAGAGGCCGATGAGAGCCTGCAGATTCTGCTGAAGTAGGCTTGCAGGTGGCTGGAAGCCGAGTGGGGATACCATTCTAAACAGCTGTGGTTTTAGCAGGGCAGAAGTTACTACCTGTTATTATAGGCAGACACACACACGCGCACACACACACACACACACACACACACGCCTAATGAAAACCACAGTGTGGAAAAAGGCTTAGCTCTTTTTTTGGTGCCCTGTCACTTGGCAGAATGTCCTCTGGTTGAAATGTGAAATCAGGACAGAACTGAGCTTGAGTGCTTGGGAGATGCTAGCATCCAGCATTTCCATCCCTGGAGCCTGGCTTTGGAAGCCAAGCGCCGGGGGCAGCCAGGAGAATTTGGCTTGAGCGAGAGGCAAAATGGAGTCCCAGAAAAGGGCTTATTTTGTTGGATTCACTAGTAATCAACCAGATAATAAATTTGGGAAGCCCCAGGAAGCAGAGCATAGTGAAGGACTATGGTTCCCTTGCAGCCAAGTGCCTGTAAGTAAAGTCAGCAAAATATGGAGAGGGAAAGAGGAACTTAAGGAATGCAGGTACGGGGACACATGACTAAGAAACTGGACCCTTTTTAAAAAAAATGGTGGAGTTTTAAGACTTAGGAGAGATCAATGGTGCAGAAAGACGTCCGCTAAAGAACAGCAGAGCTATTCAGCCCTTGGAAGCCAAGCAAATTGGCCTCAGCCAACTTGCCTTCTTCGATCACCAACATCTGGGTCAAGCTCCATGGGTCATAGGTCAAGGTTTTGATGATGCTAACCAAAAATGAAATCTACACAGAAAAACAGATCCTCTCTCCTGGCCAAGTCACGTGTCCCATGGGGTTGGTTTTGTCAATTGAAATGGGATTTTGTACGTCTGATTCATTTTTCTTCAGTATCTGGAAAGTCACAAATCCTGCAGGGAATGTGTGTCTATCCGCTTTCAAAGCTCAGCTCATGTTCTCTGTTATCCTGAGTTAAGGATTACGCCTAACGAGTAGCTGCTTATCTCTGCATTCTGTGCTCCCCTGAGCACTCAGCGATACTAGAGAAAGTCAGATTGACCAACTAAAATTCCATAATCACACTCAACCTCTTATCATCCAAAATTTCACTGCAGGAATTTTTTAAAATTTTTTTCATTTTTTCTTTTTCAGTTATACATGACAGTAGAATGTATTTTGATATCATACATACATGGAGTATAACTTCCCATTCTTGTTGTTTTACATGATGTGGAGCTACACTGGTCGTGTATTCATATATGAACATAGGAAAGTTATGTCTGATTTTTTCTACTGTCTTTCCTATTCCCATCCTGCCTCCCTTCCCTTCATTCACCTTTGTCTAATCCAATGAGCTTCTATACTTCCCTCTTCCTCTTATTGTGCATTAATATCCACATATCAGAGAGAACATTTGGCCTTTGGTTCTTAGGAACTGGCTTATTTCACTTAGCATGATAGCCTCCAGTTCCATCCATTTACTGGCATAATTTCACTCTTCTTTATGGCTGAGTAATTTCCATGGTGTAAATGTACCACATTTTCTTTATCCATTCATCTGTTGAAGGGAACCTAGGTCGGTTCGTTCATATTGTGAAATGAGCTGCTATAAACATTGATGTGGTTTTGACACTACAGTAGGCTGATTTTAAGTCCTTTGGACATATGCTGAGGAGTGAGATCACTGGGTCAAATGGTGGTTCCATTCCCAGTTTTCGGAGGAATCTCCATACTGCTTTCCAGAGTGGTAGCACCAATTTGCAGTCCCACTAGCAATATATGTCACTGCAGGAATTTTTTAACTGGGCCCATTGAATCCCATTGAGTTCAGGTGAGACCCATAGTTCCCTTAAGTTATGCAAAATTTGCACTGTGTACACGTTCACTTTCCTGGGAAATAGTTCATTCTATTTGCAGAGTCAACCCTGTATTCATGGAGATAGTTTGGTTTCACAAGGCAAAAACCCAATCACACTAGACTAAGCAGAAATAGGAAATGTAGCGACTCAAGCAAGGGTGGAGGGCTGGCCTCTCACAACTGGAAACAGGCTTGGGCCTCTGCATCTGCTCTCCCTCTCTGTCACCCGTCTATCTGCCTGTCTTCATCCCTTCCTGTGACCCACATCCCAACAGCCCAGGAGCAGAGGCTTCTTGGCCTTCCTCCTTCAGCCCCTTCATCCTCTGTGCCTCCCAGAAGAGTTAGCCTCAACCCCCCTCCTTAAAGCAAGGTGTCTTTATATATTCTCTTTTTAATCTGTTTGTTTATGGATAAAGTTTTCTGGAACCCATTTTTAGAGGTCAAAAGTTGGAAACTGACTCAGCATTTCTTCTACAATAATCCTAATCCTCACCAAAGCTAACAGACGCTGAGGTTGAGTGGACCAAGAACACGATATCATCCTCTTCCCATATTAACCCAAATATTTAGAAATAATAATGACTTGCTTCACTTTATCAAGTTCATTAAAACTTGTATTTTAGAAGTGTATCTCCAAAGACCATTACTTATCCATTCATCTATAGGGTATTTTCTATGTAGGTTAAGTATCTCTTATTTGAAATGCTTGGGACCAGACACTTTTGGGATTTCAGATTTTTTTTTAATTTTGGAATATTTGCATACCTACTGAGATATTTCACATATTGTGTAATTTTACACAATATCTTTAGTGCCCCTAAAATGTTTTGAACTATTGTGTCCCATGAGCTCGGGTGTGGAATATTCCACTTGTAACATCATTTCAGCATGCAGAAAGTTGGATTTTGGAGCATTTAGATTTTGGACTGTTGTGTTAGAGATGTTCAACTTATAATCATCGTTAACATTAGTCTCATGAACGTAGAGTCATTTCTTCTTCCTGAAGCTCTTTGAAATCATCTGTAAGGCATTCAACAGTGAAAGCACTAGTCTATACACCAGTAAGAGGTTGACCTGAATGTCCCCAAGGGAAGACATCTGGTCCATTCATAGTTTATCATAAACCAGCTCCACCCACTGCCCCAGGTTGGCTGGCCTTCAGTTGTCCACAGCAGACTCTGGGTGGGGCTTGGGGAAGGCATTTGGTAGGAGTCAAGGGTACTGCCCTGGTAGCGACCCTGGAGGCCAAACCTCTAAGTGCACTCTCCACTGAAATGCATGAAAACCTGCCCACGTGGGGGTAGCTCTGCTGGGAACCACCCTCCACACAACTCAAGGGCACCAAAGCACACAGTGGGAGATTTGTGTTCCCCATGATTATCCATAATTATAATCATTATGCTATCATGGTATAATGATGAGAAATTGAGAAAGGATCTTCTAGTAGAATCTTCTATCAGAAAGTTTAAAATATCATCGAGGATAGGTTTTCTGCCACGGACTCTTCAGCCCCACTGTCCTGGACCTTTTGGAAGAGAAGAGCCCTTATGAGCGGCGTGCAGGGCCACAGCTGGGTGTCAGAGATGTCACACTCCCAGGAAGTTGGAAGTCAGGACCCTAAGCCAGGGGATCACTCAGCATTTCCTGAGCAACTTCTGGAAAGGGGATTAGTCACTATATTTGTTTCCTAGAGCTGCCGTAAGAAATTGTCACTAAGCCGTGGATGGTGGCTTAAAAGAACAGACTTCTTTCTGGGTTCTGGAAGCTGGAAACCGGAAGTCAGCAGACCAGTGCTCCCTCCAGCGGCTCTGGGGGATAATCCATCCTTTGCCTCTTCCACCTTCTAGTAACAGATCGCATTCTTTGACTTGCAGCCACTGCAGTCCTGTCTCTGCCTCTGTGGTCACACTGCCTCCAGCTCCGGCGTCTGGTGTCTGTGTCTCTCTCCTGTCAGAACATTTGTCATTGAACCGTCTCAAGATCCTTAACTGAGTTGTATTTGCAAAGACTCATCTTCCAAACAAGAACCCATTCCCAGGTTCTGGGACGCAGGTCAGGGACATGTCATTTGGGGACCACCCCTTAGTCTATGACACCCGCATGTCATTACAAACACAAAGGCCCTGCAGTAACTTTAAAACAATGTTTTTTTAATCTTATAGATAAAAGAGAATCAAAGATTATATGTTAGACAGTCTTTTAGATAGATCATAAAATAATCATGAAATGCTGCAATATAAAATAAATGTAAAATGGTTGAAAAAATTGGGCCAAAAGGAAAATAAGGATACTTAAGACAATAGGGCCGGGAGTGAGGATTCTCTCAGAATGTTTGCCATGAAAACCTGCCCCACCAGCTGCGTCTATTAGGTCAAAACCAGCGAGGGGCACACAAGAATGTGGTGATTCCCAGTGGAGACTCAGAAAAGTCTTCTGCAGTCTTCCCCACACCAGAGAGGACCAGTGCGGTCGGTGGAAGGACTGGCATCCTCCACCACATCCCTAAGGGAGTTTCCCAGTGGAGGCTCTTAGCGCATCCCTCGGCATAGCAGATGGCGCTGTGCCCCAGAGCGTAAAACCACATCCATAGATAGAGGCTCCACAACCAGGCCTGGTCCTTGTGCCTGCTGGATTGTCTCACTGGAGGAAAGAATTTAAAGCCTTGAGGTTCCAAAGCAGTGGCAGCAGTTGGATCTCTTGGGCTGTCCTGCACGAGCCTCACCTTTATCTCACGGCCTCTGGTCAGCATTGAGTGACAGTGCATTTAGGATAAAATTCCCGGCAGCATCTGAACGGCGCTTTCCCGGGTCGTCACTCAATGCAGAGGAACAGACTTGGTAACTAGCTGGACTTGGAGTCAGGAACAACAGGCTCTTGATGTAGGTTGTGGAGTCACATGGAATAGACTTGCAGACTCAAAGCCACTGACCACTGTCCAGAAAAGGGCCAAAGGTCCAAAGGCCAGCCTGGATTCTCCTTGGATTATACTTTTGGATCTGCTATGACGAGCCGAAGGGTAATCAATCATCAATACACCATGGAACGTGTCTGCAAGTTTGGGAGCTGGAAAAATATTCAAATGGATTATAACCAAATGGAAATCATCCATAAAGCAGCCATTGGATGGTTAATTTATCAGTGGCCCCTCCAGTTGATTGCATTGCAAACTGAACACCCCAGTTCACGGTGAGGCGGCATTCTGCTCTCTTATTAACCATGAACCCATTAAAAGGTGGGAGAAATCAGCCAAAAACGATGAGCTTGGATTTAGAGCAGTTGATCGGCAGCCCTTGTTTTTTGGCAGTCACAGAGCCAGTGGGCTGTTAAGGCCTCCTGTGGTTTGTGATAGTAAAGCCATTTTTATCTGCATGCATTAAAAAAAAAAAAAATGTCTTTGCTCTTCATGCGTCAGGCAGGGGCTGCTGTGCCCAACTTATCCAGAAGAATTATTTACTCATGAAGGTATAGATTCAGAGGCTGCTGAGTCAGGGTAGTTGGGGCCCACTGGAAAGGATTAGCCGGCTCCTTCTGGTTCTCTGGCTCTTCCTGTCCAATCCCCCAGCCAAAGGGGCAGACAGCAGCGCTCTCTCTCTCTCCAAGCCCATCAGGGATCCTAACGCCACTTGATGCCCTCTTGTTTATTGATTTGCTTCATAATAACGTCACTAGATCATAAGCTCCGTAAGGATTTTAGGGGGGTTGAAAGATGACTCTAAATAAATAAATAAATAAGATGTATCCATGTCCTAATCCCCAGGTGCTATGACTATGATCTATTTGGGGAGAAGTTCTTTGTTAATATAATTACCTTGAGAATGGATTGACTCAGGTTGAGAGAGGAATTATTCAGGTGGTTCCCCAAATTCTACACCAAGTGTCCCTAGAAGAGAAAGGCAGAGGAAGATCAGACACAGACAGAACAGGAGACCCGGTCATCGAGAAGGCAGAGGCTGGAGTGAGGGGGCCACAAGCTAAAGGGGGCACCAACAGCCACCAGAAGCCGGAAGAAGCAAAAATGGATTCTCTGTCAGGGTCCTCAGAAGGAGCACAGCGCTGCCCAAACCTTGATTTCAAACTCTCCGACTCCAGAACTGTGAAAGAACACATTTATTTTAAGCTACAGGTGTGTAGTCATTTCTTGCATCAGTCACAGGACATTAACAGAAGACAGGAAGCGTGTTTGCCCTGGTATCTAAAAATATAGTAATAGGCCCTCGATAAATGTTCAGTAAATGAATAAAGAGAAGTGCTTAAACTCTGGGTTTGAATCCTGGCTCTTCCTCATAAGTACTACGATGCATGAAGCTTGTTTCCTCAAGCCTCAGTTTCCTGGTCTGTGAAGTGGGATACCTACCCCAAGATATGACTGGGAGGTAGAGTCAGAGCTTGTAGATAATGCACAGAGCTGGATTCCTCATTCATTTGATGCTGAACCACCAGCAGATGAAGGATCACTTGTTGGTTATTCTCTTGTATCCTGTTAGTCAGCTTTTTATCACTGTGACAAATAACCTGAGAAAAACAACTTAAAGAAGGAAAAAATTATTTGGGCTCATGGTGTCATAGGGTTAGATCATGGTTGACTGGCTCCATTGCTTTGGACCTGAGGTGAGGCAGAACGTCATGGCGGAAGGATGTGGAGGAGCAAAGCTGCTCACTTTGTGGCAGCCAGGAAACAGAGAGAGAGAGGAATGGACCAGGAAAAGACAATAATCCCAAGGCCATGTCCCTAGTGACCTTCTTCCTCCAACCATGCCCACTGCCTACAGTTTCCACCATCTCCCATTAGTCCACGGAGCAATCGATGGGTTGACTCACTGAGGAGGTTAGAGCCCTCATGAGCCAACCACTTCCCCCAAAGCCCCACCTCTGAACATTGCTTCCTTGGGGACCAAGCCTTCAACACGTGAGTCTTTGAGGGATACTTCACATGCAGACCATAATAGTTCCCTGAGTTACATGATTCCTATTGATATCCAGGCCCCTGCATTTATATTCGATGCTCTAGCTGCTGATGGAGAAGCAGCATCCGTGGTCTCCCAAGGCCAGGGAAAAGCACTAGTGCTTCCCGCCTGGTCATTGCCCTCCCTTGACCTAAATGCAGCTGGTCTTTCCAGACAGAAAACACAAGTTGATCTCCCCTCCATCACTGTGATGTCAGATACCTGGTGATTCCAGGTGGGGAGAAAACAGCATCAGTCTGCAGTCAGGGCACCTGTGTCAGAAACTATGCACCCACACACAATGCACACACGCACATAAGCACGCACACACATATGCACACGCACACGCACATAAGCACGCACACACATATGCACACGCACACACACATTGCAGATTCTAGGTCTCCTCTGTTTTGGTTTTTTTCCTTGCAACAAAGCATGTATTAAACGGGCTGCTGTCTGTTCTTGGGAGACCTTTCCCCTCTAACCGTGCTTCTGGAGGGTTGGTGACATGGCTGGCAGCTGACCCTGGTCCCGCACTTTGTGCTCAACACAGTTTTTACACACTATCTCATTTGATCCTCATGACAACCCCCTAAGTAGTTACCGTCATTATCCTCATATTCAGATAAAGGAAGTGGCTCCGAGGGGCTGGGGTACACAGGAATTGAGATTTCAACATCACATCTTTGGGACTCCAGAGCTGAAATTTAACACTGAGTTTAACTTCATCTTGTGTCTTAAGCCGGGTCCTGGAAACATATAGGAGACAAGACTTGCGCTCAGGAGGTTTAGTGGGCAGTGCTGTGAGGGGTCCAGAGATTAGTGAGGCAGCATTCTTCCAGAACCTTCTATATGATAAGGTAGGCGGCTGTGGCCTTTCTAGAAGGCAAGTTGGCAATAATCATCAGAAGATTTAAAAATGGTCCAAATCATGAATCTTTCTATCCTATACACAAACTTTTTAATACCAAAAAAAAAGTGTTTGGCTTCTTATAATCAGAAGGAAAATCATTATAGGTGGAATCTCTCACCCAGAGTCTGATTTCACGCTTGGGTTTGATCACGGTGCAGCCACTTACTAGGAGTGCCACCTTGAATGAGTCATCCGTGCCTTCACCTGACCCCCTGTCTTTACCATGGCAGGGATAACGATGACATTACTGACCTTGTAAGGAGTTTCTGTGAGGGTTAAACGAGCTAAATTTACCAAGTGCTGAAAACAGTGCCTGGTGCAGGATGAGGCTATGCTGTCAGCCCGCTGTCCTCCTTATTGTCACCTGGAGGCCCCTCTTGGTCTTCTTCCTCTGCAATCCGATTTTTGCTCACTGGGACAGAAACCCCTGTGTCCCCCCACCCTGGAAGGGTGCGTGATAAGCCCCATCTTGTTCAAATCCTTCCCAGAAGCCCCACATCACCATCTGGAGGTCTCACTCAACTGCGGGGCCAGCAGGGCTCTGGCCCTGTGAGGGCAGTATGGGGTCAGCACCCAGTTAGACCAGAGTGGAAACAAGGGGTCCATTGCAACACAGCATGAAGCCATCTCTGAGAAGGAGAAATAATTGTATTTTTTACCAGAAGGGAAGTGCATGTTGGGAAACCAGCCCGTTTGGCAAAACCTCACAAAATCTTGGTACAGTCATTGCTTTCTCAACAGCAAACAAATAAGCAGGTTCAGCGATTCTCCCACCACACCACCATCACGCTCTTTAAGGAGTCACAATCAAAATTAAAATTTATGACAAAGCATCACTTGCTCTGTGGCCACTAGGGAAGAGCATAAAAGGGTCAGGTCAAAAACTTAGCTTTGAGTCCTTCTTCACTTGCTCTATTTTATTTCATGGATCTTAATTTCCTTAGTTTTCAGGGCCCCAGGGGGATTGGAATAAGGGACAAACCCCTCAAAATACCTTTGGATTAAGCTCTGCACACATGCACATTAATAGTATTAAATAAAAAGACATATCATGTGTGTTTAAGCACCAAGAGGCTGTAACAGAGGCATTACAGAAGTGTCTCCGGACACTGTCAAATGTCCCCAAAGGTGCATTACAGCTCAACCAAATCCATGTTCCCTTATGGAGTCCCAGCCCCCTTGTAGTTAGGTGGGGTCACATGACCAGCTGTAGCCAATGGGATGCCAGCTGAAATGAGGTACATCACTTCCTTTGAAAGAATTCAGAGCCAGTACTGAACCCTCCAGTTCCTCTCTCTTCTTTCCCTGATGACCGTGAAGGTTACAAGTCGGGATCTTGGTATGTCCATCAAGCACGGTCCCTGAGTCACTCTGTAGAACAGAAGCCCTACTGACCTTCATTAGACAAGTAGCATAGTCGACAAATAAGCCTATGTTGTGTGAAGTCACTGAGATTTCAGGATTGAGTTGTTACTGTAGCAGAACCTCACCTACCCTGACTAACACAGCAGGTAAATAGTACAGATGGATTTTGCTCTAGTAACTCAAGCAAGAAAGAAATATAATACTGATTTATCTTTCAAAAATCAAATCAAATGGGATCCTAAGCCCCCTTTTAGTTTATATTGGGTGGAAAGTCAACCTCAGTCATTACCAGAGCTCCTTTCCCCAAGCCCCTTTAGAGTAATTATCTGAGGTCTGGGCAGCATGACATTGGAAGGAGCCCATCCCTGTTCCATCACTGGGGCTCATGCAGGTGGGTAGCTCTGTTGCTTCTGTGTCAAGCTCCAGCACAAGATTAATTTGCTGAGGCTGGATTTCTGAGACCTAAAATGTGTCTTCCTAGGCATTCGCCAGGCATCCTCCATCACCACAGGTCATGTCCAGGAAACAGGCCAGACAAGGACCCCAGCCAACTTTCCTTCCCTAATCTGAGAATCTTCATGCTTCCCCCAAATGTTATGTTTCTTTATGCACTTCCTGCTTTCTGCCAAATCCCCCTGCCTGACACTCCTTCCCTGGCTCTAGACTTTGAAACAAAGAATCCAGGGAAGGAGTGAAGAAACTGTCCCTGAATCATAAACACCATCTGAGACAAGGAAACAGGCCCAGCTACCCTCTGAGGATCGGAATGGGGAAAATTCTGGAGGAACAAAAAAATACATTAATATCTCAATTAATTACCTTACCATATGGTTGACTGCTCATGCTGAGAAGAAAAATAAGCCAGAAAAATCCACAATTATTCTGTTTGTAAATCAAGTGGAAAAAATATAATATCATTCAAATTAGTACTAGCTCACAGGCCAAGGACTTGAAAGAATTTAATCTGGGTGAACCACAAGGAAATCTGCTGATAAACCATGAAAATATGTGCCCCTAGCCCTACACCCTTTTGCGATCACCCACATTCAGATTCCCCACATTCAAATCTTTATCTCCTTCCAATGCCCATGCCTGTGTCGTAGGGAGTGAGGCAGAGTTCCAACACTTTTAAAAACAAACGTATTCTGGTAAATTATTGATCATTAGAGGACCCAGGGTGTGGGTTTTTAGACCTCCTGAATTCTCTTGGTCCACTCCAGTACTCAGGAAAGTGGTAGAGGAGATTCATGTCCCTCCAATGATTCAATGTTGATGGCGTCTACTAATTGTGTGTGTGTGTGTGTGTGTGTGTGTGTGAGAGAGAGAGAGAGAGAGAGAGAGAGAGAGAGATTTTAGAATTGTACAGTGAGTGGATGAAAAGTACCAAAATTGTGACATGTAAATAGATCAATGCCGCATCTTTTGCAAGACACACGTGTGTTCGAGTCTTAATCAATGTGCGTCTTAGGTGGGTTATGAGTCTAAAAAGTAAATGCCTGCTGACTCAAATGTGTGTGTCTTTCTCTTAACAATGAAGTCACATTTTTAATTTTTGCTGTGTCGAAGATATGGAAAGAGTCTCGGAGGCCCCGAGGAAGGCTTTTATGCTGTCTACGGAAAATATTAAATAGCCTGGAGTCCAAAATCCACCATAGCAATTTTCAGTTGTCATCAAAGGATTAAGTGCTTAATTTGCTCATGAGTCTGTGGCGCTAGCCCAGGGTTTCTAACCTCAGAGTTACTGACATTTGGGACCAGGCAATTTGATGTTGTGTGGATTTGTCCTTTGCATTATAGGATATTTACAGCACCCCTTAGCACTTCCCCCATCAACTGTGACAACCAGAAGTGTCTCCGGACACTGCCAAATGTCCCCAAAGGTGCAAAATCACCCCTCGTTGAGGACCACAGGTCTACACTGCCCAGTTAACAGTCCTATGAAAAGACATAGACTGTGGCCCAGAGGCTTCTGCTCTGTGAATCATCCCTTCACAATTCGCAGCTCAGTCTGGTGGTAACATCTCCTGGTTTCTGGAAATGGGTGCGTGCAACAGAGAATCCGGGGGTGGCCCTGTGCTGTGCACGGCAATGATGTAAGAAAGCCCCTCTGAACTGTGGCCCCTCTCTGAGCCCTGACCATCTTTTTTTTAATATTTATTTTTTAGTTATAGGGTGGACACATATCTTTATTTTTTTAATGTCATGCTGAGGATTGAACCCAGGGCCTCATGCATGCTAGGTGAGCACTCTACCTCTGAGCCACAATCTCAAGCCCCAAGCCCCGACCATCTTTACGTGCAGCACCCCCAGAGCCTGCAGCTCCTTCCGTACTTACTTCTGCTGAGCCTGTGGTGTCTGTAACCATTTCGATTCTTAGCTCTACGGCCAGAGAATAGAATAGAGTGGGCTAGAATCCCGGGAACATTGCCCGGCTAAAAGGAAGCTTCCGGATCCCTGGCGTGCCCGTGGGCATCATTCTTTTGCTCTCCCCGAGGAAGTCCAGTCTACCCCCAACTTCAGCACTTGGTTGGAAAGTTGCTGTGGAGGGAGAGATGGAGGTTTCTCACTGAAGTCACAGTCCCAGCCCCTGGAATGTCCCTTCTAGCTTGCCATAGTCATCTAGCTCAACTGGGGGCCATCTAGACTCAGATCTGTCAGGCCATCCAAAGTCAGCAGGGGCTGAGCCAAATGGGTGACCCTGCCACATTGACAAGACCATGAAAACAAAAAAGGCCCCATTTTGGAACCAGGTCTCCTAACCTTATCTCCTATTTCTGCATCAGTTGAGCAAGTTCCTTTATCCCTGGTCCCCAGCGACCTGTAACTAACATTTCTACAATCCCCTCTGGCAAGTGTCCGACAGGCATGTACGAGGAGGCTGTCCCTACCTGGATGGCTTCTCCACGCACCATTTATGGACCTACAAGTCCCTCTCGTGGGGAGAAGGCTGGGACAGGCAGCAAGGGAGCCCAGGCTGGTAACTTCCGCCTGAGGAGCCTGAGGGGTCAAGGAGCAGGGGCCATGGTGGGTCGCAGGGAGGTGAAGAGCTTGTCCTGAAAGCCAGTCACCTCTCGCCAGCCAGGGGACCTTGAGCGAGCCAGGTCAGTCTCCGCATCTGTGAGACGGCCAACAGAGGACCTGCTTCGCGGGATGTTTGGGAGGAATGATGGATCAATACAGGTGAAGGGCTTCACCACGGGTCCCTGCGCAGAGCGGGGGGCCCACAGACATCCTGAGCCAGTAAGAGCCCGAGGGGGAGAGTGAGAGCCCTGGGGACAGGCAGGCAGGGGAGGGGTGGAGCCCTCAGGCAGGACCCCTGAGTATTTGTTCCCTGTCACTTGTGTGTCCTTACGGGAGCCGTCTATTGACTGGCCATCCACTCACAGAGCTCACTGTCCATCCCTGTTTCAGAATTTGGGATGAGATGGAGAGGCAACCACCCCTCCCCAGCCTGCCACCACCCACCTCCCCCAGCGAGAGTCCCCAGGCTCAGGAATGGTGGCTCTTAGGGGATGCCCTTTGACCTTGGTCTCAGGAGCAGCAGCGCCCAGGGTCCACGTCAGGCCTGGTGGCTTCCCCCAGCTCCACCAGCTACAGCGCCAATAGGTGCTGGTCTTGGTCCTCTACCACCGCCATCACACATGGCCACAGGCTGGATGGCTTAAAACAACCGAAGTTTATTCTTCTATGTTTCCGGAGGCCAGAGTCCAAACTCAAAAAGTATGCAAGACTGTGCTCCCTCCTAAGGCTCCAGGGGAGGACCCATTTCTTGTCTCATCCAGCTCTGGTGACTCCAGGTATTTCTTGACTGTTCTCACTTCAAACCTTTCTCTGCCACTGGGGTCACATTGCTCCTTTTCTTCTCTGTCCTCTTCTCTGTACACATCTATTAACCCAGGGACACTTTACCACTGAGCCACATCCCCGATCCTTTTCACTTTCTATTTTGAGACAGGGTCTCACCAACTTCTTTAGGGCCTCCCTAAGTTACTGAGGCTGGCCTCTGAACTTCTGAACCTCCTGCCTCAACCTCCTGAGTCACTGGGATTTACAGGTGTGTGCACCTGTGCCCAGCTTATAAGTGTCTATCTTGTGAGGGTACTTATGATTTCATTTAGGGCACACCCAGATAATCTAGGATCATCTCACCATCGCAAGATCCTCAGCATAATCATATCTTCAATTCCCTTTGGCCATATAAGACAACATTCACAGTTTCCAAGGATTAGGGCATGAGTATCGCTTAGGGAGTCATTATTGAGCCTCTGGTAGGGCAATACTAGGGAATGCAAATTAGAACTCTTGTTCTCACCAGATAAGCAGAACTCAGGCAAATGGGACATTAAGCAGAAATTTCAAGTATTTCTTCACAGTCCTCTTTCCCCACATGAGGCACAGAGGTACCTATGTCAATGGAGAAATCATAGTAATAATAACTCACATAATCAATTATCAATCCATTTAATCCTCACTAAAATCCCATGAGGCAGGTACAATTATTCTCCTTTTCAAATGGGATAAGGCACAGAGAGATCAGATAACCTGCCCTGGGTCACACAGCTATGAACGGTCAACTAAACCAGACTTGGGTACCTGTCCCACCCTCCCTATCTCTAGATTTGCAAACTCATCAGTAATAGTGACTCTGATTTACAGACACAGTAGTTCTGCCCCCATCACCTCCTCCTAGAGATCAAGCTGACTCACAAGCTAGCTGGGCAGAGACCCCTTCGGGGTGTAGGGCAGATTCCCAAGGGTGGGCGCACCTTTGTCCTGCCCGCCTCAGCGGTCGTGACATCCACTCCACGTTACTGCTCTGACGTTCTCTTACTCAGGAACTGGCTGGAGAATCAAGACGGTCCATCAGATAAAGCCCCTGACTTTCCTAAAATAAGGTGCCTGAAAGTGACATGCCAGGTGTTCAGGAAATATTTCTGGAACACAAATCGCAGTCTCCCGTCCGAGGCAGATTCATCCCGAAGCTGACAAAGCTTCATCCCAGGGTCCCTTGCTTCCCCCGAGGGTGCTGGGAGCAGCGGAGTTGGGATTGAGAAGTATTTCTACTAAGTATGAGATCTCAGAAGTAAGGGCAACTTGCTGATCTACTTCTTATTCTACATGCAGAGTCAATTCTTACTAATTCATCATTTTGTACTCTTCCTAAGGATGTCCTCCCATATCATAGGAGCTACAGGTCCCCAAAAACCTGAATCCTACTTTTTTTTTGTCCTGGAGAGACAGAACAGTTCGTCTCAGCCAGGAGGGAAGCAAAAACAACTCTGAGAAAACGATTTTTCTAAGACCAAAGTCAAGGATAAGAACATTGAACTAGACATATGGATCAAAGAGATGTAATATTTAACTGAAAGCTAAGCACCGTAGAAACCCACCATAATGCTTTTATAATCTCCTTTATAACAGAATACGTCTGGAAGTTCATAAAATGAGGACGACCCACCTTAGGAACTCTAGGCTAACACAGAGGGAATTCTGGTACAATTTCTGTGCTCAAGAGATTTCCCCCACCCCCAGCATAACTTTTGATACTGGTGTTTTGGAATGTGATGGAGCTTTCTACAGCAGGAAACTTGTCTGGGCAGCTAATAATCAGTTATTTATAGAGCATTGATTGTCTGCAGAGCCAAATACCAAGGAGGATGCAAAAGAAATCCAAGTTAGAGCCTTGCCTTCAAGAGTTTAGAGCTTAGTTAAGAAGAAAATATATGACCCTGAGCCTTTCACTCTTTGTCTTCCAATGTCACATGACCAGCAAACTGAGCTTACAACATGAAGAATTTTGCCTCCGTGCCTGACAGTCCCATCTTCCTGCTCAGGGTCCCAGGCCACAGTGACCAAGGTTCCACGAAGTTCTGCAGGTCATCCATCCTCAGCCAGGTGATGGGGCAGGAATACCCATCCCAGCTCTCCATCTGGTGCAGCACTTCCTAGAATTACTCAGGAATGAACATCTCCAGGAAGTGAACTGTGATTCAAACAATTAAGAAATAGTTTAGAGATTATCACCAAATTCCTCCCCAGGGAACCTCAGTGTGAGCTCTCAAAGCAAAGAGTGTCAGTTCCCCTAACAGCTTGGTAGCCAGTGAGTCTAGCAAAATGTAATTTCTGCAGCATGCAACTTAAAGAGCAGTGCTCAGGAGAATTTGGCACCATTGCTCTTGAAAGAGAGGTTGTAGCCAGATGCCAAAGGCAGACTAGTTATGTCAACAGAAAGGACAGAAGTTATTTCCTATTATCAGGTTAGTCCACCCTGAATCAGGAGACCTGGGAGGTTTAAGAGAAGACATAGTGGAAAGAAATAAGGAAAGGTAAGACTTTCGAATACTTTAATATAGCCAACATCTGATATCTAAAAAGCTTGCAAGGCTACTTCTCTTATTCTGGGGACTGGAGTAAGCCTGTGATTCCCACTAGCTGTCTTTTCAGAAAAATACAGAAGACAGTTCTCACAGAGCTGTGCATCCATGGTGGGGTGGGGAGGGGGGGAGATAAGGAGCACATTCCTCCACCCAAATGAGTTTTGAGCCAAATGCTAAGGAGCCAGCGTCAAGCAAAAACAGAAATAGACTCTGCCCTTTGGGTGCTTGGGGTGGATAAGCATAGCCAGTAAGAAATGGTAATGCAGAATGTCTGCAGGAGGAACACACCACACACTGGAGCACAGAAACAGGGACACGGGACCTCATGCAGACTTCCAAGAACCTGAGACTCGGGCTGGTAGGCAGAAGAGAAATGTATAAGAGGGGAGGAAAGCATGACCCAGGCTAAGGAGAGAGCATGTTCTCGGCCTCTGTCATGAAGGGATCACAAAAAATAATTATATCCATTTTTAAAATAAGCCACAGTGGCAGAGAATCAAGGCTTATATTCAAAGCATGAAATGAACAGGACCCCTGAAAAGTGGTAGCCACAGAAAACTAATACATTCCCCACTACCCCTTCCCCCAAGGACAATCATAACCAATGACTGACCGGAGTCCCCAGGTCTTGGGTCTCAACGTAGGGCAAACTTTTAGGTACAACAAGTTCCCGTACAAACCAGACCAAGTCTGGGACTTTGCCTGAAATGACTCCTTCATCTGGTTTCTTCCACCTGTCCTGCTTCTCTCTTTCTTATCAGTTTCTCCATGCCATGACTTCCTAATAAAGCCTGCTCCTAAACCCAAAGCCCAGGGTCAGCTCAGGGGGAAGCTGACCTAAAATGGGGGATGGGGGTGGGGGGTAGGGGCCCTCCACTGGGCAAAACCCACAGCTGAGGCCCAGGCTTGAAGGGAAGAACGTGAGTTCGGTTTTCAGCATTTGAATACTAGAGCTTCTAAAACAGGTGATGCAAGACTGTGACCCAGGCTGGCCCGCGACCACCTGTTTTGGAACACAGCTGTATTGCAACCTGCTCCACCGTTCATTCACAGATTGTCTAAGGCTCTTCCTGAGGCAGCAATGACAGACTTGAATAGTTGAAACAGAGATTGTAAGGCCCAGGAAAATATTTGTTACATTGTCCTTCAGAGAAATAAGCAACTGGATATTTGCATCCACAGCTCCCAGGGCTGGAGAGATAAATCTGAGCGCATACAGGTGGTAATGCAAGCCGTGGGTGTGTGTGCAATCGTGGCAGAAGCGAGGCTAAGGGAGGAAGGGAGAGAGTCAGAACAGAGCCTCAGGAATTCTAGCATTTCATGATGAAGCCAGGAAAACTGAAAGAAAAAGAGAAACCACGCAGCCGGAGATTGCAGAAAGAAAATCAAGTGAGTTCCTTAACATTTATGAGACCAGCATACTGCCCACTCATTTTTATGTCTTAGGACAAAGTTTTTCTTTTCTCCTGGAGAATCAACATTTCAAATTATCCCTCAAAAGAAATATGCTACCTCCAGGACATTCGAAGTGATTTTTACATTAACTTATTTAAAAGTTACTTTGTCCTGATGCAACTAAAAATGTAGCGATATACCATATACCTATGCCACGTCCTCTTCAGAATGATCTGGTGATGTTCAAATCATAAAGGGATACCTAGTCCTCCCTAATTCTTCTGATCTTTGCCGCCTCATCTCATAAGAGTTCTCTTATGTAGAAAGTCCTCTTTGTAGACAACTTGAAGTGAAATGATCCAAAAAAGACCAGATTTATATGGGAAAAAGTTGATGAATCCGTCCCAAGTTATAGTCAGGAGTAAGAAGTTCTGCTTGCTGTTGCTCAGCAGGTGGTTGCAGATAACAATACTGTATTGCATAGTTCAAAAATCTGGGAGGATTTTGTGTGACTTCATTATAGAGAAAATGCTAAACGTTTGAGGAGACAGATCTGGTTACCCTGATTTGAATATCACACAATGTGTACATGAAGCATCACATGGTACCATAAAGATATATTTTTTTGGTTTTACGTCAGTTTAAAAAACTAATTTTGAGAAGAGAAAATGAAAACCAGTTTTGTCTTGAATTATAAACTACCAAAACCCTGAAATATTTTCTAGCCCCCAATACCAAAAATACATTGAAAACACAGTAGCAGCATATGTTTGGTACACAGCTCTATTGGAACTCGGTGAGTTGAGCGCTTCCAACTTCTTTCCATAAGAAATATAAGTACCTTCTGTGTGCAAGGTGCTGGGTTCTGTTTCGTAAGGGGTGCAAAGATAAGACATTGCCTCTGCCCGCCGTCTGTTAGAAGGAACGAGAAACGTGTCTAAATCACTGCTGCTCAGAATGTGGCAAGATCGACAGAAGACATGGGAGTTGCATTGGAATTTGAGGGAGCAGTTGAGAAAGATCCTATCCAGTTGGAGATTGGAAAAGGTTCAGAGAAAAGTTCCAGGGGAGTTTGGCCCTGAAGGTGGGGAAGGATTTCTGGAGATGAAAATGTGGGAGAAGGCATTCCAGCATAAGACAGGATGAGAACAGGAAGCGGAACTTAGGCAGGAGGAGAATGGATGGAGGGAGACGGAGAAGCAGAAGAGGATAATCTGGGGGATGCTAGAGCAGGGGCTTGGGGCCAGTGCTCTTGACCTGCTGAAGGACTGTATGGGAGGCTCGTGCTGGAAGCTGGGCCTTGGACAGTTAATCTGGCAGTGATGAGACCCAGAGTGGGGAAGGAAAAAGGACCACGGTCACAAATGTCAGTTAAAAGGATATTCTGCTATCCAGGTAAGAGGGCTGCAATAGGGCATAAGCAACAGGAAGAAAAGGAAAAATTAAGAGGCTGTGCATGGAAAACTACAAGATTTGGAAAGAAAAGAAGTCAAAGATGTCCGCACCTTGCAGCTGGGGAACCTCAACAATGAACCAGAAGAGAATGCACAGAGGCCTGGCTTTCCCTCTGGCTCTGATCCGGGGTCTCCAAGGTACCAGCCATTAAAAAAGTATTGTTGTGTCTGTATTTTCCTCGTCTGGTACCAAAATTATTCCAAAGGGCCTGCCCGCAACCCACAAGGGACACGTGAATATAATAAAAGCATCCATGCCCCAAACCCAGTGGGGGAGGGGATGTCAACCCTAGTCCTTGTAAGACAAGGCAATGTCTTGTCAGGGAGGTTTTCCACACCTGAAGCCATGGGCTCAGTGACTAGGAGCGTGGGGAGTCCGCCCAAATCTCTGAACACCTTCCAGATCCCTCCTGAGCCCTCTGAGTCACAGCTGTCTCCCCTCCACCTCGCACAGCACCTGGCTGGTTAATACCGCACCCCGGTGATTCTGCCCTCAGGCACCTGGAAGGAAACAGGATACAGGTTGGCACCTCTCACTCCCCATATTCCAGGAAGAACAGGAGAACCCAGGCTTCCTCTTGGTTGGTCCAAGCTTCTCTGGGCTTCCCACCTCTCCCCAAACCAGCAGATGCCCCCTCCTAAGTCCCAAAGCCAGACCCACCTGGGTTTTCCCCGCTCATGCCTTGAACTTGGCTAATGCTTCCCTTGCACACAGAGAGACCGCAGACAAGCTGCGGCAGGACTCACAGGTCCGTTGTATGATCTGCGACCTCACAGATGTGCCAAGACATGCAAATGTGGTATCTAGTGCAACCCGATGACATAGAGGTTGTTCCCTCGCTTATGAAATGTTCCAAGGGATTTTTTTTTTCTGGCTTGCAACACTGGTTGGTTTCTATTTACCTGGTAAACTGTGTTTTTGAAAACTTGACATCCCTCTGGTTTCTAGTCTTTATAAGAATTAAATAGCAACCGTTCTGGGAGGGCTCCCACACGGTTAGTTGGTACTGCGCTTACTTCTTACGGCATACATGGCAGTAGCTATCAGAATCCCCATTTTTCAGAGTAGGCAAACTGAAACTCAGAGGCTGGAAACCACTTCTTAAGACTAAACCTTGTTGTCAACCTTCTCATTTGCAAATTGTGGGGAAGAACACATCCTGGAGCAGTGGCTATAGGACCGTGGGAGACACTGTGTACAGAGGCAGGGCCCGCCCATCCTCAAGGTCGCTCCGCCTGTCAGAGGCAGAGCCAGGACTTCCTGACACCCACCCCGAGTCCCTTTCGATTCATTATACTCTTAATTAGTTCTTGCTCCACTTGCTGTGCACCCGTGACTTGCTCACCTCATTCCATCAGGGGTGGGACCAGGTCACTGTCATCAAAAATAGACCTCGTGTTTTGCTTTAGTGCTGTTTATTTTTCATTTAGGGGAATCGGAGAAAGGTCCACGCTGGAGATGGCCCTAGGAGAGGTTTGGAAGTGAAGACGGGTATAAAAATGGACCCGAGTCTTAGAAGCTTCCCAAGAAAAAGATGGAGGGAGATTCAGAGAGAGGAAGAAAGCAACAGTAACTAACGCAGCCTGGAGATGAAGCAAGGGTTCGACGGGACACTGGGTGATGGCGTGGCTGCTGAGCACGGCAGCTGTCACGTCTGCTGTCATGACAGATGAGATTAGGGTAGTGGTTTTGTTGAAGGAAAAAAAAAAATCTCTAATGAATTTCAGAGAATTGCTTAGACGCTGTGGGGCGCTGTCCTTCCACAGCCTGGGTGGCCTTATAGAAGGGGAGCTGCTGCCATCTCCCAAACGCCAGCACAAGTGTGGGACACATTGTCATCTTTCAGAGGGCCCTTCCAGGCCACCAGAGGAAGGGTGCTCCATTCAGGTAGCTGGAAAGGCCACACGTGGGGGCCGACTTGAGGCACCCACACGGTGTCAGTCAGGCCACCCTGCCCCCTTGTTCTCGTACCTCACCTGTCAGTTCTGTTTCCTCAATGGCACCCGGAGGAGGCAGGTTTGTGGCCACCAGAAGCTCCTCTGTTAGCCTCTTTATAGCTGCACATCCCAGAAAAAAAAAAAAAAAAACAATATAAGTAAAGTCAAAAGCAGCCAACAGAAAATCTATTTGCAATTCATAGAGAAAGAGTAATTATTCTAATTGTAGAAATTCAATAGAAAAAAAAAAAAAGAATGAACAACCCAGCACAAATGTGGTCAAAAGAAAAACAAACAACTCAGGAACTTATGAAAAGATGGTGCAGCTTCACTCCTAGCAAAACAGAGGCCAATGGAAAGTACACAGAGATACCACTTTTCACCCATTAGATTGACAAAGATCACAGAGTACAGTAACACTTCCTGTCTCATACCATGCCCAGCCCCAGGGCTCAGGGTTGGCCCTGGTGGAGGGCAGTGGGCAGTTTGGCAATATCTGTAACAATTAAGAATGTACTTAGGGCTGGGGATGTGGCTCAAGCAGTGACTCACTCGCCTGGCATGCGCAGGGCGCTGGATTCGATCCTCAGCACCACATACAAATAATAATAAAGATGTTGTGTCCACAGAAAACTAAAAAATAAATATTAAAAAATATTCTCTCTCTCTCTCTAAAAAAAAAAAGAATGTACTTACCTTATATTGTGCTATGTGCATGTATAGATATATCCCAGTGAATTCCACCTTCATGTATATCTATTAAAGCACCAATCAAAATAAATAAATGAGTGAAAGGAAGACCAACCGGTATAGGGAGGGAGGGAGAGAGGGAGGGAGGGAGGGAGAGAGGGAGGGAGGGAGGGAGGGAAGGAGGGAGGGTAAGGAAAGGGGACATCAGAGACTGAAATGGAGAGAAATAATCCCCATGCATGTATGATTTTGTCAAAATAAACCCAAATGTTATGTAAAATTATAACACACTAATAAAAGAGAAAAGAATAAACCCATCAATTACACTTCTAGGAATTTATCATACAGATTCACCCTCACACTTGGGAAATATCATGCATATAGGCTACATGCCACACCATTGCTTGTCATAACAAAAATCTTTCTCTCTCCTCTCTCTCTCTCTCTCTCTCTCTCTCTCTCTCTCTCTCTTTCTTTCACCAAGCATTAAGCCCAGTGCCTCACATATACTAGGCAAGCACTCTACCACTGAGCAACCTTAATTACCCAGGTTGCCAGAAAATTGTAATCCTCCTGCCTCAATTCCCTAATAGCTGAGATTTCAGGCACGCGTCACAGTGTCTAGCTGTGATCTCTTCTGTAACAGCACTCGTCCCAGCCATGAGGGCTACACTGTCATGACCTAATCATTTCCCAAAGGTCTCACCTCCTAATACTATCACCTTGGAATTTGGTTTCAACGTGTCAATTTTGTGGGGACAAACGTTCAGACCATAGCAGCTTAATTATTATGTGATTTGCATATACCAGAATATTATGCAGCCTTTACAAAGAATAGCATTCTGTATACTGAGTTGTAAGACTGCCAAACTTACTCACAAAAGAATAAAGCCAGCTTCAGGATACTTTTATATTATCATACACATAAAAATAAAGCTGGAAAGAAACAATGAAAAAAAAACTTTGCAACATGAGTGGCCTCTGGAGAGAAGTAGATTCATGGGAAGAGAGATGGAAAAATTTCTGAGATTTAAAATTTTGAATCATGTAACTGTTTTTATTCAAAGACAAATAAGTAAAATCAAACATTTTTCAATGCTCTCTTTTTTCTAAAAGAGGTGCTGCTCCTTTCAGGGAACAATTTCCAAGGAAAACCTCAGCGCGGCAGCAAGTAAGAGCAGAGGGAGTTTTACTTCTTCCCTTAAGGTCACAGGACTTAGAGCTAGGGGTTCATTTTTATTGATGCATCAGTCATCAAAACTTTGTGCTTTTTTATGGTATATACTACCTCTTTAACTTTAAAAGTAAGGTTATCTTAAAAACCAGGATTATCTTGGCTGATATTGTACCTAACTACATAGACATTTATCTTCTATAAATGGGTTTTTATATATTGTTTTAAAGTATGATGCTATTTACTGTTTTCATATTGATTTGCTGTTTTAGAATTCTATTTCTTTTTTTCCTTAAGCATAAAAAACAGGTTGAGAAAGAAAGATAAATTCTCTATATGTCACCATTTTTATTCCCCGTAGGCAGGCAGCCATGTCAGACAGGACAGAGCTGGAAAACAGTTTTCCTGAGAAATAACAAAAGCTCTAATTTGAAACATTTGCAGTTACCATGGTGTAAATACTCCAACCATGGCCGTTTCTTTTGGAGTTTTGTTGTTGTTGTTATTGTTGATGTTGTTGTTTCTTTTCGTCAGACTGGGGAGTGAACCCCGGGGCACTTGACCACATGCATGCCCAGTCCTTTCTGATTTTAAGTTACCTGGGTGGGCAACACCTCCTCGCAGGTTGCCCGCCCAGAGGCAAAGAGCATTCAAGCAAAGCTTCACAAGAAATCAATCCCTCTTGCGAGCTCTGCCTTGACCATCTAAAAAAGAAAAGCAGAAGACACAGTGAAACTCCTTCTTCCATCCACACTCCCACCCCGAAAGAGGTGACCCCAACTCTAGCAAGGGCAGAATCGCAAACCAGAGAGTCATGTGTCCCCACCCAACAATTAATGTGAATGTTTTTAGAAGCAGTACGAAACTAGTCTAGAATTTACCATCAATTTGACACCCTTTTTAAAAAATTTTTTAATTTGGATCATGTGTCCCCCACTGGTGGCTATAACTAGAATCCATTAGGTATCGGCTCCACTGCAGAAAAACCCACCTCCTCCCAGCCCTTTCCCAAAACCCGGCTCGGGCCGCATAATTGTTTTTCTTCCCTTTCCTCCCCGTGTTCTGTGCTGCTGTGGTTCAGGGTGACTAACTTGGCTAAGGACTTTCCACTCTTTACAGCAAATTCCCGAGAGACTTTTGCAGTCATACAACCTCAGCTTCCAAGTCGCCCTGGGAAGCAGAGCTTGGCCAGACGATTTGTTAAAATAAAAATAAATGTTAACAAAGTCAGGAAAAGTTGGCTGGAGGCCCGCAGACCTGGTCAAGAATTCACCCCTTCCCTTGATTTTTCATAAAATTCTATCTCTGCCCAAGTTTAGCATCAGTCACTCTAAATAATTATATGAACAGTAAAAATCGCTTCTCTGCCTGGGTGGGGAGGGGGCAGCTGGACTCTTGGGCCTGCTGTCGACCTTTAGGGGCTGTGTAAGCCACCGTTCCCCTTGTGGGAGAGAAGGTCCAGCCATCTTTCCTTCTACTGCTCTCAGAGACCAAAACCTTAAAATAACGGATGGCTCCGTTGCTTGCCCTGTGCCCTTGTTTGCACACGAACCCAGAGCTACATGTGGGGGAGGGGCCTTAATATTTCTGTCTTGTTGACAGGCCTGGCTTTGCAATTGCTGTAACAGAATGGAGCAGATAACACACTGGCTGTGGAGCTCTGTAACTGTTTTGGCCCAGGCAGGATATTTTTAAATTTGAGTCAACATGGGTTTTTGGTTTTTCTTTTAAAGGAAGTTTCAAATTCTGATCAGAATCTGGGTTTCTAACTCCTGTTGTAAACTCAGAATAAGTGATTTTCCTGGAATATGCTTCATGAGAAAAAGACCTCATTGTGTACACAGCTCTAGTTCCAAAATATAGATCAGTGTCCAACTGGAAACACATGTTTGATGAATGAATGAATGAGTAACGTCAGGGCATGATTGCTGGGAGCTGAGAGTTGGCAGTGGCTGTCCCCCTTGAGGTGAGGCCTGTGCGCTCCAGTTTGACACACTCTC